TAAGAATTCTTAATAAAAAAAAACAAAAACAGTGCATGAAATAATCTCATATATTATGCCCTTTTAATCTATATAAAATTGATCAACCAATATGCCCAATAATTGCTTTTATTTAGGTAAATAGTTTTATACTACAATTAATGTATATACACAGAGAGTTTACACTACACAGATCAGAGCTCTGATAAAACTCCACTGACCAGCAGTTTCCCACGGATCTATGCATGACTAATTTACTCAACTGGTCATTCCAACAGATCGGACTATTCCATTGAATTATTTTGGAGAGATAACATTATAAATATATAAGCAGAATTTGTCTAGGACATTGCAATTTTCTTTTGTACAAAAATTTGTAATGATTTTTAAATTCTATCTATATATTTATTTGTTACTTGAATATATTTTTTTACATTCAATGAATGAAAGTTAAGATGATGAGTAAATTAACCCTGTTTTACATAATGATTGACCTGTCCATGCAGTTATACAGTTTGAATTCTAAGATATCTGGGTCAGCAAAAAGAGTGCAAATTACATAGGATGTATAGCTATTTTAACAGTTTTGGAGATATACTTTTGTTCAAGATCTCAAAGTGTTTTAGAATTTGTATGATAAATAAGTGTGATAACTTGGGACAAGGAGATGTACAACATAATCAGGTAATTATAAACCTTTAGTTACATTAATGCAGAAACAGGTTTTATATCAAACTATCAATGGTAGCAAACTAAAATTTGTAGCAAGAGGTCAATGTTGTTTTTATATTTTCAACTTCATACATTTGTTTTTTTTCTTATAATTGTTTTAAATCTTTAATACTTGTATAATTTGTAAGATATAAATTATTCAATGATTCTATATAATGAATGTGTATATTGTATAATAAAGCATGTAGTACTGATCTTTTTCATTTCCTGGAAATTAAACAAATTAAATCAATTTGATTAAATAGGAATAAATGGTACAAATTCAGAAGTTTTGTACAGTTGAACAGGGTCATCATAATCATTTATTATTTCACATGTATGTGTTGTGTTTCCAATTGGAACAATCTAACATTACATTTTACACTCATATTTGCAGGCTTGGACTTAAGTGCTGACTGTGAGATGCAAGGTATTTCAATAAAGATGTGCAGTATTAATCCTGAAAAGGTATATTTTTAAATCTCAATACTTTACTATTCAACATCTTTCCTTGAAAAAATACATTAAACCAGTAATAAATAGTGTCACAAATAAAGCAGTTAATTTATTCTTATACAGAGCAATTCTTAAACACTTGTGCACTGAAATAAGATACTGTGTAAGCTTTAGTATTTTTGAATATGCAAAAGCAAAGTTAATATTTAATACTGTTGAAACATAAAATTTGATGTTATCAAAAAATATGAAATATAACTGCATATAATTATGCAATAAAACATAAATCATTACAACATTTTTGTTTTAATTTATTATAAATTTTATTATTAAAGGTGAGCGCAACCACAAGAAGTTCTAGGAAACACAGGCAGAGGACTTAAAACAGACATCAATTAAAGAAATAGTATTTAAATAATCAGAAACATTTGAAACAAATTTATGATTTAAACACTCGCAGCAAAAAATTGCAAAAAACAAAGTGTTGGATTCTAAGAAAACCAGTACCTACCAAAACCTGCAGCTGGAAAAAAACTGTTTGTGATATAGTGAATGTAGGGTATTCTATTCTGTATTTGGACTAAAGGATATGATTTTTTTTTTATTAAATTTTTATGAAAGAAAATTTAATGTGATACATTATTGATAATTTTATCCCAAAAAATGTGATCATGTTAAACTCATAAAAATTCCGCCCCCATGAATTCTGTCCCAGAATTCCGCCCAGAATCTTTTTTGACAATTCCGCTCCGAAATTCCGCCCCAAGATTCCGCTTCAAAATTCCGCCCCAAGATTCCGCTTCAAAATTCCGCCCCAAGATTCCGCTCCAACTCATTTGCATATTTCGTCCCAATTCCGCCCAGAATCCGTCCCGTTTCCGCCTGGAATCCGGCCGGAATCCGTGCCAAAAGCAAATGGTTTAACACTTGTATATTTGGGGGAGAATTTCAATTTCTGGGCGGAATCTGCCATTGAATTCCGCCCCATTTCCGTGCAGAAAATTTCGTACAGGTTAAGATGATGAGTAAATTAACCCTGTTTTACATAATGATGGACCGGTCCATTATACAGTAAACTGTTGTGAATTTTGAATTCTAAGATATCTGGGTCAGCAAAAAAAGTGGAGGATGTACTTGATATTTTAACAATTTTGGAGTAAAGTTTTGTTTAAGATCTCAAAGTATTAAAGTAATTGGTATGATAACATGGGACAAAGAGATGTAAAACATAATCAGGTAATTATTAACTTTTAGTTACATTAATTTTATATGACGACTATCAATACTAAGTAGCCAACTAAAATTTGTAACAAGAGGTCATTGTTGTTTTAGTATTTTCAACTTCATACATTTGTTGTTTTTTTTCTGATAATTGTTTTAAATCTTTAATACATGTATAATTTGCAAGTTAATATTATTCAATGATTTTTTTGTTAATATAATGGTTGTGTAAATCTATATTGTATAAATAGCATGTAAGTATATCTTTTGCATTTCCTGGAAATTAAACAAATTAAATAAATTTGATTAAATAGGACTAAATGGTACAATCAGTAGTTTTGTACTGAGTTGAACAGGGTCATCATAATCATTTATTATTTTACATGTTTGTGTTGTCTTTCCTATGGAACAATCTAAAATTACATTTTACACTCATAATTTGCAGGCTGCTCAGGGACTTAAGTGCTGACTGTGAGATGCCAGGTGTTTAATAATGATGTGCAGTATTAATCCTGAAAAGGTATATTTTTAAATCTCTATACTTAACTATTCAACATCTTTCCTTGAAAAATACATAACCAGTATTAAATAGTGTCACACATAAAGCAGTCAGTTAATTCTTATACAGAGCAATTCTTAAACACTTGTACACTTGAATAACTGATTCTGTGTTGCTTTACTATTTTTGAATATGCTTTATAAGCATAGTTAATATTTAATACTGTTGAAACATAAAATTTGATATTATTAAAAAATATAAAATATAACTGCATATAATTATGCAATAAAACATAATTGAGCCATGTCATGACAAAACCAACATAATGGGTTTGCGACCAGCATGGATCCAGACCAGCCTGCGCCTCAGCGCAGTCTGATCAGGATCCATGCTGTTCGCTATCAGTTTCTCTACTTGTAATAGGGATTGTAAGCGAACAGCATGGATCCTGATGAGACCGCGCGGATGCGCAGGCTGGTCTGGATCCATGCTGGTCGCAAACCCATTATGTTGGTTTTTTCATGACATGGCTCAATTCATTACAAAATATTTGTTTAATTAATTATGAATTTTATTATTTAAGGTGAGCACAACCACAAGAAGTTCTAGGAAACACAGGCAGTGGACTTAAAACAGACATGGATTAAAGAAATAGTAATTTAAATAATAAGAAACATTTGAAACAAATTTATGATTGAAACACTTCCAGCAAAATAATTGCAAAAAGATTCCAAAACCTGCAGCTAGAAAAAAACTGTTTGTGTTATAGTGAATGTAGGGTATTCTATTCTGTATTTGGACTAAAGGATATGATATTTTTTTTATTAAATTTTGTGAAAGAAAATTTAATGTGATACATTATTGATAATTTTATCCCAAAATATGTGATCATGATAAACTCATAAAATTCCGCCCCCTGAATTCTGTCACAGAATTCCGCCCAGAATCTTGTTTGACAATTCCGCTCCGAAATTCCGCCCCAAGATTCCGCTTCAAAATTCCACCCCAAGATTCCGCTTCAAAATTCCACCCCAACTCATTTGCATATTTCGTCCCAATTCCGCCCAGAATCCGTTCCATTTCCGCCTGGAATCCGGCCGGAATCCGTGCCAAAAGCAAATGGTTTAACACTTGTATATTCGGGGGAGAATTTAAATTTCTGGGCTGAATCTGCCTTTGAATTCCGCCCCATTTCCGTGCAGAAAATTTCGTACAGGTAAAATAATACAATTTGTTCATGACTCATTAAATGAATCATAAATAAATTGTGCTTTTACTGGAAAGAAAAGACCCCATTTATTATAGATTCATTACAAAAGACTGATTTATTAACCATTGATTACAAACATAAGATATATTCAATACAATTTATTGCAAATTCATTACACTTGAACTGGAATGTATACAATTTATTCATGATTTAGGAAATAGAACTTTTCCCGACTGCATTAATACCATTTATTACAAATTCATTACACTTTAAAGTTCTGAGATATTCACAAGTTGTTCATGATTCATTAAAATCAGAGATTTTCCAGTATTTATTCAATACAATTCATAACATATTCATTGTACTTCAGATGTTCATAATTTGCTTAATTATAACAGAAATTTTCATTGATGTAGGTCCTTTTGTTTTACTGTTCATAACAACTAAACCCCTCTCAACTATACAAATATTTTTTTTTTAATTTCCCTTTACTCATTACCGTACATGTTTTTAATCAGTCACTAGCTGGAAAATATATATGGGTTTTTCAAGTCTCTTAGTTTAATTTAGCATCACCATATTATTAATTCCATGCTCAGCGCAAAACGTAAAAAAAGAGTCAATTATACAATCTCGTTTTACTGTTAAATATGTTTAACTAATTTGCATGTAAATTTTATTTTTGAGTGATCATGCAAGATCAGTTTTTGTCTTTCTTATTGTTAATACGCAATCTGATCCATACCCACGGCTTTTTATGATTAGATCTATCATTATCAGTAAAAAAAATGTCGAATAGATTAACGTATATGCGTAAAAAGGTAAAATGTCGTAAAAAAGAGACTTAATTCTCTCAGACTTAACATCTGTTATTAGTTAATTGTTTTGAACAGCATGGCTCCCAGCCGCGCGATTAAACGATAAGATCTTGCAGGGAACTGCAGCCTACCGAGCGCCCCCTATCAGCCGACAACAAGATTAATAGGAAACAAATTTTTTTTGCCATTTTAGAAAAAAGATATCTTACAATACAAACAGTTTTCTTTCTTTTGGATATAACTAATGTCAGACACAAACTAACTTACAACAGATTTTGTCATTGCAGCTGCAAAATTAGGAACTTTATACAATACTATAGTAGCTATAGGCATAACATTTCGTTTGCATTAATTCTATGCATAGGAAAAAGGCGGTCATTTTGGAAGATGAAAACTTGTGGTGTCACACAAAAATATGGATAAAAAACAATATCAAGGCATCTAGACTACTGATAGATGGTATACTGATAGACGGTAAGTTCAAAATTTCTTTTCGTTCTACATATAGCGTTTTTAATAACCTTCTATAGATCTAGATCATGTGTAAGTTGGCAAAAAATAAAATTTACTGGAGTAATGTGCAGATTAGGATAACGATCGATTCGCCCCATAACGACTCGCCCCATTTTAGTGACGATTCGCCCCCCCCCCCTAATGGCACAACCTTAAATTAAACATTTTTTTATTCATTTGATTTGAATTGAAAAATTTTTATGATACAAGATACAAGTTTTAAAATATGCACGCATGTACATGCATTGTTTATGAGGATATCTATGTACAGCCCATTTTAAAAACATAAATCTGCATTGTTTCACACTGAGCTCATCTGCACATTTGAATGCGATGAAAAATGATGTTCTTTTTATTTTAAGTGACTTCAGAAGACTATTTTTCTTTTACTTAGTTATCTCGCAGAAAACTGAAAAGAGCAGCAAAGAAAGGACAGAACGTAAAAATCAGCAACTCCGATGAGATGGTAAAAAGCAGATGAACGGGAGATAATAAAATGCAGATGGACGGCTTCTTTGATTGTGAAGAGTTTGCTATTAGTTATGGGACGAGGGCATTCCAAGGAAATGACATACATGAGTCTTTGAAGCGTAAGTATAGGGCTACATATATATGAATCATTTTAAAAACGACAATGTGCTTGTACATATTGTAATTCAATGTCATAGCCTTTCAATTTCGTTTAAAATTTAATTGAAGCAAATGGTAAAAAACTGGACTTGCTACAAAATATTTGTTCATTCCTCTGTTGAAAATGAAATCGTACATTCACCCGTTTGTTTTATCATCAAATATTTATCTATCATCAGACTTTGTGAAATATACTGCTGGTTTTTATTCAATAGAACATGTACAGTCCAAAGTGGTTGAGTCCTTTAATGTATTTGGCTCGAGTTGAAATTCAAATTCAGATTGTATTGCAAATAGAACAAAAATATATTATACTTTTTTCAGAGTGATATGTCAGAAGTCTAAGTTTAAATTTTGATATTTTATTTATAAATATGATACTTTTTATGAGAATTTTATTTTCTATTTCAGAGTATGCCATTCATTGCCTAAGTATAGAGATTCAACATTTAAAGATTATAGGAATAAAAAAAGGTGTAGCTCCAGACAGACACTGAAAAGGAAGGCAAAGATGTTTTCAGACTGACATAAAGCCCTAGTTTCTACAACTAGAAATATATTCCTAACAGCAAGCACGAATATTTCCAGAATTATTCCCCTTTACTTGTTTGTTTTATTTGCAGGGATGTTTATGAAATGAGCTATGCACGTACATTATGAGTTTTCAATGTTATGATGTGGTGGCATAGATTTTTTCACAAATTTTAATCTTGTTGTATGTTCTTGATTAATCTAGTCAGCTTTTGTTTGTAAAAAATAAAATAAAAATAAATAAAATTTATCAAGATATGTTATTATTATCATTTTCATATTTTTCTCCGGAATTGACACCATCATTGGAACCTGCATTTATTCAAAATCCATTAGATGAATATAAGCAGGCAAACCTGATTTGTTAATGATTCATTAATACATTGAATTTCGGTTTATGGAAGAAGAAAAAATACAATTTATTAGTGATTCATTAACAATTTATTTGCAATTCATTAATGAATCAGTTGGTCAGCGAACCTAATTTATTGCCAATTGATTAACCTGATTTGTTGATAATTCATTGACTAAGTCAAGAAAAGGGCCAAATTCATTACCCATTTGTTAACCTGATTTATTAACAATTTATAATAAGTTGGTAAATGGACCCAATTCATTACCAATTCATTTCACTGATTTATTAACAATTTATTCATAATGCATTGGCTCATTTGCATGTCATTTCCATCTATAATAAATTGGGAATAAATGGTAAATTTGTTTATCATTTATTATACTGATTCATTCCTATCTTTTTTTTTGTTTGGGCTATCATTGTGTTTTGAACCAAAATACAGTATATGTACTCCATTAAAGCTATTTTTTAATAACATGGACATTTGTATATGATATGTAATTTCAATAAAATTACACCTTAAAAATGTAGAAAACAAATATCATATCTTGAATTAAAATTGCAAGTACATTCATAAAGAACCTATATTGTAGATAAGCAAATGTCACAACTTTATTTTCTTACAACATCTTTAAAACTGCCCATTTCAACGGAATGAATGAAAGCTTTAGCAGGCTAAGTCATATTATTTAATAAATATTTATTTATTTCTCATTATAATCTATATTTTATACAAACAAAAATAAATATTGCTATATTTGGGTGTATTTGGGTATATTTGGGTATTTCGTGCCGCCGCACAATTTGTTGGGCTAGGGTGATTGCCATTTCTACTTTCGTTTTCGGTACACATGCGTTTTGATAATCCTACCCACACACAATAGGACTGGCCGTTTTACAATCACCAATTAATATAAGGAATTCATTTGAAGAAAAGCTTTGCAATAGTCTGATTAATGCTTGTTGCATTTTAAAACGCGGAAATTTATTTTACTTCCTAGTTTCGTTTTCAATCGAAAAAACTTTGGTAATTTACCTGGCCGAGTTACTTACTCTTGTTTATTATGTTATCATTTCATCTAAGTACGAAATAATTTACTTATTGGTTTCAAAATTCACAAGGTACTTACTGCAATTTCTTCAAATTTTGAGAAATTATTACCCAGGACTTTTTTCCGCCATACTGATATTTCTCCAAATTTATAGCGCATGCGTACTGCAAACTAATTTACGGACAGGACGGACCGTGAGACAGGGCGGACTGTATTTTTGTTTAGGAAATAGACATCAATTCTGGCTGCATTGTTGTAGAATAATGCACGGTTTGAGTTCAAATGCGTAGTTATATAATCACGAAGGCCTGAGTGATCAATTACAAAGCATTTGAACGAAAAACGTGCATTATTATACAATAATGCACGAAGAATTAATATCTATTTCCATTCTAACGTTAAGAAAAAATATAATTATTATTGTTAAGTTGGACTTTATGTTTGGTGGTAAAATTTGTTTTTACCCCAGAATTTCCAATAGAAACGTTCTTTAAAGGCTGTTCCAGTGGGTTGAAACAAAACTGTTGTTAATTAAGATATTAAGACCCTAATGGGCACTATAAGGAACTGAAAAATTGACATCATAGGTCAGATGTACACCTTAAAGTACACCTGTATGGAAAATTTAAACAAAGTTTACCGTACGGAAATCAAGTTATGGCCACTTTTCTGAACTCAAGCTAGGATTTTATGAGGGCCCTTTTTTAGAAATGAGGAACCTTTAAATAATCTGAAATAACTTTCTAATGAAAAATGTTTTCCCATTAATTTTTGGTTAGAAACAAATAGTACCATTCAGCTAACAATCCACATAAGCAAAATTATGGTTTCTACATAAAATTTATGAGATCTGTATAAAAATGTTACCCTACCCCACCCATTTTACCACGTGTCTGACAATTTTTCTACTTCGGGAGCCTAATTAAAAAAATCTTAAAATTTACCCAAATGAGTGCCTGTTTTCAAAGTTTCCCTAAATTTTTAAAAAAGTATATTGGTTGATCTTGTAAAATATGAAATACTTTTACCGTCTAGTTTTGATTTTATTACACTTTGAAAATATCAGGTATCATATTTATTACTAGATTTAGCACAATTTAGCCAATAAATACCTATATAAATTAAAAATTCAAAGTTAAACACTTTTTTCTTTCCAAATAGGACATGACAGATACATAAATGATGTTAAAAGAAAAAAGGAAAGAAAAAAAAAAGTTGACCCTTCTGGGGATTGAACCCATGGTCCTCATTTTCAATGTAGTTAACAGTAGTTCTAGCCTATTTGAATACTCTTCAACGTGGGGTGCTAATACCTTAAATCTACCGTGTAGAAACATTTTCAGAATAACGAATTTTGAAAACGTTGATAAAACTTTGTTTGTTTATTTTATTTCACTCTATAACTATTCAAGCGAAATACAAATTATTAAAAGTGAAATAAATGTAAAAATTAACTCGTTTGCGACATTAAAATAGCGTACTTGATTTGATTGTTTTGCACGTGATGTTTGGCGCTACATTGTGACGTCACGTAAACAGCACTTTAAACGTCTGTACAACATTAACG